AAGTGATGCCGCAGTACAAGCTCACCTACTTTGACCTACGAGGCCTTGCCGAAGGAGCTCGACTTATGTTCCATTATGCAGGAGTCCCATTCGAAGATGTCAGGATAACACGTGAACAATGGCCCCAGATAAAACCAAGTCTAGTTTTTGTTCAATGTTTTATCCCTTATAATTCGTAATAGCTGACTTAGTAAAACACTAGCAGGATGAATACTTAGTGATAGCAGCAGTGTCCAAAAATTGGAAAGATAGTCTTTGTTTTTTTTTTTGATAAAATGAAATTTGAAAATAGTCGACGCAGAAAACTCAGTTGGAGTCTAAAATTTTTAGCAACACCATTTGGGCAGGTCCCGGTACTCAGTGTTGATGGACATGAAATAGCTCAAAGCGCTGCTATTTATAGATATCTGGGCCGTCAGTTCAGTAAGTTTTACTTTTTATCGACTTAGTATACCTTAGAAAACTAGGTTCTTTATTTCAAAAATCGTCTTTCAGACTTGGTTCCAAAATGTCCGATAGAAGAAGCGATGGTCGATGCTATCTATGATGCTCACAAGGATTTCTATAATGAGGTTAAGGACTTCATTATCGTTGTTGCCGGCTTCAAAGAGGGCGATAAGGTACAAATATTGTTGTTCTGACTTTTAAGCCACTTTATAACTAACGGTGGGAACGTGGCATCCCGCATGAGGTGCAGTTCAGATTAAATGTAGCAAAATGTGGTACACAAACAGGTATATAGATTTTTCGTTTCAGGATAAATTATTAAAAGAAGTTTTCCTTCCGGGTCGAGACAAATACTTCGGTTATTTGAAGAAACACTTGGAGAAGTCAGATGGCATCCACTTAATCGGAAAAGTTTTGACTTGGGCTGATATTGCCATTGCAGGCAACCTTTACACAATGCAAGGATTTGCTCCGTCACTTTTTGATGGCTTCCCAGAAGTTAAGAAGTTTGTTGATGAAATTCATAAACTGCCTGCGCTGCAAAATTATCTGAAGGAAAGACCAGCATCAAAAATATAATTATTTCATACTTAACTTAGAATAGTACGTCATCTTGGTTATAATTGTCATTACTGTTATTTTGTTTACCATTTGGATCCTATGTGGACGGTCTTATAAAATAACTCAAGATTTGTGTCATATGTGTAAGCAGTTATTAACGACCTTCTGAAACTTGTCGCTTTCCAAAAATGGTTAATGACAAGTGAAACTACAAATTTGCAGTACAATAATACTTGCATTTTTCTTGTAGAATACAGTTGAATCACATAGTAATCATCAGCGAATTATAAGGTGAATAATGTTGTTCAGTTCTATTGACAAAGAAATATTTAGGTTTAACCAAAAACTCCTATAACACTTTGTGTCTCTTTTTTTGAAGACCTTGAAAAGTATGACGTACTTGAATTGCTGCTTCAGTTTTTACTTCTTCAGCAACTTATTTCACTGCGGGCGAAAACCAGGATTACAGTGAATTGTAAGTAAGTGGAAAACAAGTTAGTTTGTAACCTATGAATACCACTGTTATTTTTACAGGCAATGCGGATTTTGCAATCATCAAAATAATACTACGAGGTCAGCCCCTTTCCTTGATGGCAGGATTAATACATAAAAATGTAGTAGAAATTCGTTGGAAAACTGAGTATTACACTTTAATTAAAGAACAGTTGGCTCTTATCACTGTCGCTCGATGCAGAAGTATCGCTGATCCGTCTAATAATTTTGGAAAAAGTTGTCACTATAAGTATACTCATTTGTGGCATTTAGAGTGATGCCATACTTGACAGAAAGCCTAATTTTACTAAAGGATTTCCTGCTAGTCCTAAAATTTCAAGTGCCGCAACATTCACTCTAATGGATTAGTTTTGGTTGCTTATTCGGATTTGCCAAAAGCATTCATTAATGCGCCCACTGTCAAATGCATACAAAATCCTCTGTTGGTAAAAATTAATGTTAATCAAGTTTCCCTGTTTAAAGGCTTTCAGGCTTTTATTATTCATGCAACTTGTTTTTCAATCTCTTTTGGTTTTTCCTAAACTATTCAATACTTTTAATATTTCGCAGAGTGGTATTTGTGAAATAAAACTGCTACCAATTTTCATTTGTCGGTTAGGGTTGCAGTGGAAGTTGCTGTTTGCAGCTGAGTATAACAAATGTTTCGAAATATTTATATTTGTGTGTTTTGGCAGTTTAAAATAAACTTGTTAACAACTAAATTTCTAAATTAAATTAATTAGTGATTAGTTTTGAATAAAAATTTATTAAAAGTATTAACCAATTCGTTAGTAGGTCACTTTTTTGTTTTCATTATATTCTTTGTCATACCTTTTTCAGTAGCAACTACAGCAAAACCATTACTCTTAATTACGACATGCAAATCATATTAGAGGATTACCCCCTAGTTATATTAAAAGTCTGTGAACAATTCTGTTTACAAGCATGGAATCTTCTAATTTTCAAATTTTTGCTCTGATCAACTTCTCGCAAATCCTCATGTTCAAATTGAGTTACTATGATTTTGCTTTATTATCCTGACGAAACTTCAAATATCGGTTTCTGACAGCTTGTTTCTAAAGCCATTGGAAGAAACAGCATTTCGTTTTAAATAATTCAACTAAATCTCTTAAAACCCTTCCAGTCGTAAAAAAATCCAAACCATTATGTTAACCGTAAACTAAGCCTAGAGAATTTCAAATGCTGTCTTTTTGCAAAACGCTCATAAACTTGTAGTAAATCTGGACGTCCACATTTTTTTATGGAAAAAGCTTATCTGGACTGTTGCAAAAAGTCAACAGACATAAGCAACCCTACAGCAATCAAGACTTTTTTTTGTTATAAGTAAACTTTATCTGCTTACCAAATACATATGTTATCCCACGTGGATTTGAACAAAAGTGTCCTGGAAGCCGAAAACGTAGCGGTGTAAATTTGAAAAGTTCACGGGACTGGATTTAAGGAGAAGAGTCAGCAACCCGTAGTACAAATAAATGATAAATAAAACTATAAGTAATAAATGAACATTTGGGAGAATTCCAAGTTCTACTCTAAACTGTTGGTTCTGTTCTGTGATCAACACTTACGTCTTGTTCACGGGAGCGATGGCGGGGCAATGGAGTATTTTGTGTGTAAGATTTTCATTTGCAAAGGCCAGGAATTGATGTACATAACTTGTAGCAAACTAACGTCCTGTTCGGTTTTGATTTTTAATTTACTTGTTTCCATCTATTTTTTTCTTGTAAAAGTAATGCGTTAGAGAAAGTTGTTGTAACTGTCTGTTCTGTTGTAGGTAACATTGGTCTGTGGAGCTCATTTTTTAAGATTAGAGGCATGTTATTGTAAAATAATGAATAACTTCCAATCGGATATAAACAAAAAGATGACTTTCAGTGAGAATGAAATGTGAGTTCGCGACAGATATTTTTGGAGTATAACGTTATTTTAAGTTTTGAAGTTGGTGTAGGTTGCAGAAGTTAACGTTTATTGTAAGTAGTTGTTTTTCTTTCGCAGAATAGAGAATTAAAAATTTCCCATATTAAAATACTTTGTCGTCTTCTTTACCAAAATACGTTTTTAAACTATTAAGTTCTGTCGTTAATCTTCAATTTTTTGACAGGAGAAAGGTAAAATCCTAAAAGCGATCAAGTTGATGCTGAGAGAGTGGTGAAATTTTGCTGCTACACGGGGTGATATTACGATTTAAAAAGTGATGCCACAATACAAACTTGTCTACTTTAATCTGCGAGGCCTTGGTGAAGGAGCGCGACTCCTGTTCCATTACGCTGGGGTTCCATTTCAGGATGTCAGAATTCCATTGGAACAGTGGAAAGATATCAAACCGTGTTTGCTTTATAAACTTTTTTCATTATCTTGTGTAGTTCAGCTGTTCTGAGAAACAGGTATGAATTTTATGCCGGTCTACTGATGGTCATCTGAAGCCGACAGATTTAAGAAGTATCTGAAGTGAAAATAATTGTTCGTAATTTAGCAACCCTCCACTAACTTCAATTTTTTTTTTAAACAAGTGAGTGTAGTAGTTAATAACTTATATGACTTTGGCTTATGTCCTTTAGCAACTCCGTTTGGGCAACTTCCAGTTCTCCATGTTGACGGAAAGCAGATAGCCCAAAGTGCGGCAATTTACAGATATTTAGGGCGTCAGTTTAGTAAGTATTTTTTTTCAATTAAACCTTAGCCATTAGTACCAGTTAGAAGTTATTAATTCTTTTCGGCAGCAAACGCTTGTTTTTTGCCTAGTCACTATTAAAAAAAACTTATCCAGAACTGGTTCCGAGCTGTGCAATAGAGGAGGCTTTAGTGGATGCTGTCTACGATGCCTTCAAAGATTTTCATAATGAAATATTACCATATTTCGTAGTCGCTGCAGGCTTCGTAAAAGGCGATAAAGTATCGTTTTTAATGACTTGAATTCAGTGAACAAAAGACCAACATTTGATAATATGAACTTTGGTTTCCTGCCTCGATTTTGCAGCGCAAGGGTAACCTATTAAATTACGATGACCAGAAGTAGATGAAAAGATTGGAAGAAAGACCATTAAAAATGGCTGTATTATACAATTTCAGGAAAAGTTACTGAATGACGTTTTACACCCAGCAAAAAAAAACTATTTTGGTTTTTTAAAACAACATTTGGCAAGGTCAGATGGCATCCACTTAGTTGGAAAATCCGTGTCCTGGGCTGACATCGTCATTGCAGAAAATCTTCATGTAATTCAAGGTTTAGCTCCGTCACTTTTTGATGAGCATTCCGAAGTAAAAAAGTTTTCTGATGAGATTTATAAATTGCCAACTCTACAAAAATACCTAAATGAAAGACCCTTCTTGGCAACATGACCTGTTTGGTTATCAGTTCCGTAGGCTGCTTTACTACCAATTATTATTAGTGATACTGTCTAATAAACGATTAGAAGCTGATTAGTTCTGTAAAGTACCATGTAATGTTCTTCGTTAAAATAGCTTATAATAATTGTCGCTCTGAAAATTGCAATATCCTTCAGTTGTCATATTTGTTGCAATAAATCCTCACGGTAGGTGTTGGCAGTTTGCAAAATCAACTTTTTTTTTTTTATTTTGGGAACTCCGTAATTTCCTCAGATAAACTTTTTAACTGGGAGATACTAGGACTGTGCACGACTCAAAAGCTTTTTAGTAATACACAGCAAGTACTTAAGTGACTTAGGGCGTTCGCTAGTAGGAAGTTAGCGGGATCTGGAATGCAGAATTAGTGTACCATTCTTCAAGAAACAAACTGTAACCAATATGCCATAACCACGCCATTACCTATAAGGAGTTGCAACACTAGAAGTATTATAAATTCTAGAAATTTGTCACGAATTTAGCTTCCGATCCAGCAAAACGAGAGACGTCCCACTGCTACTATTATTACTATTTTTCGGTCAGGCACAGTACTAAATCTCTATGATATTCTTCCTAAAAACTTTCTCGAGCTGTCCATGAACGCTGAATATTTGCAGCAGGTCAGCTTTAACATTACAAACAGTTGGTTCACTGATAACACTGCAACGATTAAGCACGCTGTAATCGCCATTCAGGAAATGAATAAAAACTGGGCGACATTTTTCCAATAGGAATAAAACTGTATCTTCAAAGCTGATTTTGTACTTCAGACTCCTGCCATGCCGATTTTTTGAAGTTCCGCACAAAGACTTCAACTCAAATCGTACTTCTGCACATGTAGGGGAAAGGTCGATAAATGGCTTTAGCAGTAAAAATAAAAACTACAGCAACAAGATTGCTGTATAGGTCTTCACAATAAGTTAGCGTATAGCAGGTCTTGGCAATGAAAATATTATGACACCAAAACTAATCTGCAGTCTATTCTCCCTTTATTCTCAAAATAGAAGTGTAAGGAGATTTATTGACACCATCCTCAGATTCTCGTCTGTCGAGTTCGCTAAGAGCAGATCAAAAACCTTGGATCTTGAGCTGTATTTCTTGTCCAGAACCAGAACTACTTAATATTCGTTAACAATTTCATGATTTGGACTTACAAGCCATTAGCGACAAGAAGTCTTGTAAGCTCACCGGCACTCCTACAAAACGGAAAAAGTTGCAGGGGTTCTGACACAGGCATCTAATTAAAGTTCCAATAGAATTTGAAATAACAGAGTTCAGAATTGAATTATATCAAATAAAGATGGACGTACTTTTACAACGAATGCTTCACGTGCACTTCTTAATGACGCATTAGGTAATCAGAGGTGCCTAAATTTGCAAGACACTTGAAGAGGCTACCAAAACAGGAAACTTCAGATATACAAAGATTAATTTCCCACTATTTTTCCTTTTTTCTGACTGACGTAGAAATAAAATGCAGCTTTTGAATAATATTTCCGCATTTTACTCAACACTTCTTTCAGTTCCTTAAATACGTCCACAGACTTAAAAAGCACTATTTTTGCTGCATCTTCCAAGTTCATCAGCTTTTTGTCAAAAAAATTATGTTTAATAACAGTTCAGTGGAATGCAGCTGAGAATGTGCACAAAATTCCGCTCCGCCAGAGACTGTTCTAAACTCTTAGAGACAGATTATACGTCGAGGAAGATCATCAAAGAGTCTTCCATCCACAACAGCGTAGATCACAAGCATGTCAACTAATTCCAACTACTCAGTGCCCTAATCAGTAGTATTTTTCGCTGGCCTCCGCAGTTATACTCAAAAGCCACACTTCAAATTGTCGCTTTTGGGATCGTGCCAGGATCGATTATGTAAATGAGAAATTGACGGCGGTAACTCCACTGAAACTTTACGGTTGTGATATTTTCGGTATTCGTCGCGTTATTTAACGTAACGTTTTTGTCTTATTTAATTAACTCTCTGTCATTTTTAGTCCAAGGAAAAAAGGACGGAAATCGATTATAATGTGGAGGATAATTTTGACAGCCCTGTTGACTTTTGAAGCTCTCGACAGGTCCAGTGACAATTTTTGTTTACGGTTGATGTGATTGCTTTTTCACGTTGCTTTCTTAACAGTTTTGCTTTTTGATTCTCAGGATTCTGTTAAGTCTTTCTATTCATTTTTAAAGGTTATACTTGTTTTAAGATGAGGTTACAATTTTTGGAATTGTTATATTTACAGTTCTGGTCGATAGCGTTGGTGTATTTTCTCCACCTTCTTAACAGTCATTCAGAAACTCACGTTCTTTACTACGATGAGGAATTGTTGAAAGGAAATATTGTCTTTTTTTGTTTCCTTATGTAAGGGAGTAAGTTCACAGACACAGGTTTTGGTTCTGATTTTTAAAAAAACTAATTAAGTTTTACTTCTAACGTGTACCTCATTACACGTCCAGAACAACAATTTAATTGGTACCGCAAGTTTATTAGTTGATTCATGAACAGTATAAATGGTATATCTCTGACGGAGACTATAAATAAGCGTGCTTACACTTAAACAAGTTCATTTTTTTTTCACTCAGCTATTTTCATTTTTTGTGTTTGTGGTTTACGACTGTTTTTGATTCATCTGTGGAAGTCTCAGACTTGTTTATGCATCTCTTGCTAACGCTCTGACGCTTTAGCATTATGGTTTTTTAAAACTATCATGACATTTTATAACACAGACTTGTCAGTGACATATGTTGTGGTGGATATTGGGTGCATTTTACATCTGCAATTTAGAAAATCTAGGAGGTTTTAATTCACGCCTTATGTAACCCTACTTCTCGCAGTTTTTACCGTTTTTGGCCATTTTCTAAGCTGACGAAAAAAATAGGGATTCACGTGATCACGGTACTTTAGCTTTTTATTTAGAGCTTGCTGACTTACTGTATGTAAGTGACCAATCAAGTTGTTAA